TTTATTTTGCTTCATTCGATTTATATAATAATATTTGTTTATTATTATTATTTTATGTCTCGGATTAACCATTTTTCTAATATTTTATTGAGTCCCTTGACTATTAAATGTTATAAAATGGTCCCTTGACTATAAGACGTTACTTTGCTGAGTTCCTCGACTATTAAAAGTTACAAAAATGGTCACTCGACTATTCATTATGTTCCTGTAAGGTATGGCTCATAAATATACCGGATTTATCAACAATTGGTATCAGATGTCATGAGCAAAGTTCGAAGTTACGAAATTTGATGGTCTGGGTAACTTTGGATTATGGCAAACGAAGGTGAAGGATCTGTTGGCATAGCAGGGGATCCTGAAGGCTTTGCGACCTACAAAGCCGGCGTCGATGGAGTAGGAAGATTGGGAAGAATTGCAACAACGAGCGGCAGAAACCATACGATTATGCTTGGCGAACGAGGTTATGTATCACGTCATGAATCTATCGTCTCCATACGAAATTTGGAGGAAGTTGGAAAGTCAGTTTATGTCCAAATCCTTAACGACAAAACTGTATCTAAAGCAGCGGCTATATGGATTGAAGATGCAGGACGATCATGGTTTGGCGCAACACGTGAATGTCTTCAATCAAATCGTTTCTGATTTGGCTCGGCTTGATGTAAAAATTGAGGATGAAGACAGAGCGATGATTTTTTTTTGTTCGTTGCCTCCCTCTTACGAACACATGGTGACTACTCTTACATATGGGAAAGAGACTATCAACGTTGAGGAGATTACTGCAACCTTGTTGGCTCACAACCAGCGGAAGCAGAATGCAGGGGAAAACTCTCAAGCCGATAGCTTATATGTCAAGGGTAATCGAGACCGTGGACGGAAGCCAGAGAAGGCAGGGTCTGGCAAGCGAAATTCCAGATCCAAATCTAGGGATAAGAAGACAATTCACTGTTACAAGTGCAAGGAGGCGGGACATATGAATCGAGACTGCCCGAATTTGAAAAAGCAGACTGATGAGAAGCGTGATGTTTCATCCAAGTCTGTGAACGTGGTCGAGGATGATAATTCTGATTGCAGTGAGGGTGATATGCTTTCTATTTCAATGACTCAATTGACGGATGCGTGGATTCTTGATTCTAGATGTTCTTATCATATCACGCCAAATAGGGAATGGTTTTCGACATACAGGTCGGTTAATTCTGGTTCTGTTTATTTGGGTGATGATCGATGTTGCAATATTGTTGGTATTGGTGATGTCAGAATTAAGATGTATGGTGGCTCTGTTCGGACGTTGAGTGGTGTTTGACATATCCCAGATTTGAAGAAGAATTTGATTTCTTTGGGCACTTTGCACAATAATGGTTTTATCCCTAAGGCTGATGAGGATAGGGAAACCATTCGGATTGTTAAAGGTGCTTTGACTGTGATGAAAGGAAAAATGACTGCAGGAAATATTTATAGATTGTTAGGGAGTACCGTTGCAGGTGGAGTTCATTCTGTTGAATCCTGTGATGATACTACAAAATTGTGGCATATGTGTCTTGCTCATCTTAGTGAACGTGGTATGATAGAAATACACAAAAGAAATCTATTGCATGGTATCAAAAGTTGTAAGCTCGATTTTTGCAAGTATTGTGTTCTTGGTAAACAGACTAAAGTCTGTTTCAAGACTGCGAAGCACACAACTCAAGGGATTCTTGATTATGTGCATTCTGATGTATGGGGGCCTTCCACGACATCGTCTTTGGGTGGATCTAGGTATTATGTTACTTTTATTGATGATTTTTCACAGAAAGTTTGGGTGTATTTTTTGAAACAGAAATCTAAAGTTTTTGATAAGTTCAAGCTGTGGAAAAGAGAGGTAGAAAACTAAACAGGACGAAAAATCAAGTGTTTGCGGTCTGATAATGGTACGGAGTACATAGATTCACAGTTCTTACACTTCTGTAAGGAGCACAAGATTAAGAGACATTTTACAATGCTCAAGACACCACAACAGAATGGTGTTGCGGAACGGATGAACAGGTCGTTGAATGAAAGAGCCAGATGTTTGCGGTTGAATGCGGGGCTTCCCAAACACTTCTGGGCCGAGGCTATTAACATGGCATGTTATCTTATCAACAGATCGCCAAGGGAATCATTGGTTGGGAAAGTTGCAGAAGAGGTATGGACTGGTCATGATGTTAGTTTTGATAACTTACGGATTTTTGGTTGTCCTGCTTATGTGCATGTACCTGCTGATGAGAGATCCAAACTTGATGCAAAATCGAATTAGTGCATTTTTCTAGGTTACAAGAAATGTGTCAAAGGATTCAAGTTCTGGGATCCAGTTGTGAAGAAAATTGTGATCAGTAGAGATGTTGTTTTTGATAAACAATCCATGTTGCAACAGAAGAAAGACACGACAGTGGTGGATTTCGAGCAGTTCCAATTGAGAAACCAGAAACGTCTCAACCGACTTCTGGTGGTTCCACTACGGATGATTTGCAGGATTATAGTCTCGCCAGAGACAGGGTGAGACGGATGAATATAAAGCCTCCGAGTAGATTGGGTTTTGAAGACTTGGTCTCTTTTGCACTTATTGTTAGCAGTGATGATCCGGTTACTTTTCATGATGCTGTTACTAGTCAGAAAAATGACAAGTGGATGGCAGCCATGGTTGAGGAGATGGAGTCTTTGAATCACAAGCGTACATGGGAGTTGGTTCCCCTTCCTGAGGGTAAAAAGCCGATTGGTTGCAAATGGGTGTATAAGAAGAAACCAGCAGTAACAGAAAAAGAAGGGGAGAAGTTCAAGGCTCGTTTGGTAGCAAAGGGTTTTTCACAGCAGAAATGAGTTGTTTATGATGAAATCTTTTCTCCTGTGGTCAGACACACTTCAATCCGAGCAGTACTTGTATTGGTGGCCAGTTGGGATTTGCATTTAGAGCAGATGGATGTTAAAACTGCTTTTTTGCATGGTGATTTAGAGGAGCAGATCTACATGCGGCAACCTGAAGGTTTCACTCAACCTGGAAACGAGCATTTAGTTTGTAGATTGAAGAAATCTTTGTACGGGTTGAAACAGTCTCCGAGACAGTGGTATAAACGGTTTGACTCCTATATGATCAAGATTGGCTAAAACCGATGTGAGTATGATTGTTGTGTCTATGTTAAGAGCCTTGATGATGGTTCTTTTATTTTTCTATTACTGCATGTTAATGATATGTTGATTGCTGCGAAGAACATGGATGATGTTATCGGTTTGAAAACTTTATTGAGTCAGGAATTTGATATGAAAGATTTAGGTGCTGCAAAGAAAATTCTTGGAATGGAAATTTGCAGGGACAGAGACTCAAGGAAACTGTGGCTATCTCAACGGGGTTATATTAAAAAAAATGCTAGAAAGGTTTGCGATGAGCAGCGCAAAACCAGTTAGCACTCCATTGGCGAACCACTTTAAGCTCTCATCAGAACAGTGCCTTAAGACAGATAAGGAAGCTGAAGATATGGCAAAGGTTCCGTATTCTAATGCTGTTGGCTGCTTGAAGTATGCAATGATATGTACTCGTCCTGATTTAGCTCATGCTGTTAGTCAAGTTTGTAAGTATATGTCTAAACCTGGTAAGCAACATTGGGAAGCAATCAAGTGGATCTTTCGGTACTTAAAGAGTACTGTGGGACATGGAATTGTTTTTGGTAGTTAACGAGATAATCCTTTGGCTGTAGGATATGTGGATTCAGACTATGCAGGTGACTTGGATAATAGAAGATCTAAGACAGGGTATGTTTTTACTCTTGGTGGAGGACCTATTTGTTGGAAGTCTACTATTCAATCTGTTGTGGCACTATCTACAACTTAAGCTGAGTACATGGCAGCGGCTGAAGCTGCAAAAAAAGCTTTATGGCTCACTGGTTTAGTGAAGGAGTTGGGTGTTCAGCAAGGTGGAGTTCAGCTGCTCTGCGACAATCAAAGTGCTATTCACTTAGCTAAGAATCAGGTATATCGTGTTAGAACTAAGCACATTGATGTACGTTTTCACAAGATCAGAGAGTTGGTTGCATCTGGAGAGATTTTGTTTCAGAAGGTACACACTGATGAGAATGTCGCTGATATGTTCACCAAGCCAGTTACAACAGACAAGTTCAAGCATTGCTTGGACTTGTTGAATGTTTCAAGTTGTTAAAGAAGCAAGGTAACCCAACCCACATTGAATGTTTCCTAAGGGGCAGGATATTCGCCAAGGTGGAGATTTGTAAGGTATGGCTCATAAATATACCGGTAAAGAGGACAGGGGATGGAGCGGAGTGAGCGAAGCGAACGCAGCGAACATCAACTGTCCTTACAAAGAAAGTCTTGTAGAAGGGGTTACGATTATGTGGGTTGGGGGTGCGGGGGATGTGTCCCCGTGGTACGGTACAGGGTTAATTTTGTAATTATGTACCAGGGTTTTCTATTATAAATAGAGATGTAACCTAAACCTATTATCATTGAATAAAAATTTTCTAGCGCCGCCTTGGCACCGAGGACGTAAGCACATTGCCGAATCTCGTTAAAATTCTTGTGTTCTTTCGTTTACTTTACCCGATTTATCAACAGTTCCAAACTCGTCCTTTTCCGTTAAAAAATTAGTGGTCGTTTGAGTTGGACATTAACATGTTGACTAAAATATGGTAATCATTTGAGAGTATGAGATCATATTTTATCATCTTGGTCAGTAGGTTAACGTACAACTCAGAATGCTATCAAAATTAAGAACAAAAAATGACGAGTTTGGAACATAATGAATAGTCGAGTAATCATTTGTAACTTTTAATAGTCAAGGTACTCAACAAAGCAACTCCTTATAGTCGGGGGATCATTTTGTAACATTTAATAGTCAAGAGACTCAATAAAGCATTATCTTATAGTCGGGGGACCAGTTGTGTACTTTACCCTATATTAAAATAATGTTAAATAAGATAAAGTAATAAATATAATTGGAGTTAACAATAATAATACATCAATATAGAGGTTAGTGAATATATTTATGAGAAACGCTTGACTTTAGAGACGATGGTAATTTCTGCTTCAACAATCAAAGTATCAGAGACGATGCAACTCTTGGATGGTTCGTGAAGAAGCTTTAGCGGCATGAACTGTGGATAACCCCAATTTACACTTGTTGCACTGAACCAACGTTCAACTGTTGCACACAAGTTTATGAATTTTTTTTTGGGGGCGCATCAAAAGCATGATATCTAACTGTCGTGTTTCATATAAAAAATATAAATATTTTAAAGGGAAATATAGTTTACCATCGTATTAATAAATGATATTTTGAATAAAAAAATATTATTCGACTGATATTTGATTTACGTGATAATTTTTATATTAAATTAAAAAATATTATTTTTTAAAAAATAATCATTTCATATTAAGATGGTGACAAACATCACTATTATTGTGTTAATAAATGATGTGTTAAAAGGAAAATAACGTTGAGCTAATATTTGATTTACGTGAAGAAAAAATTGCACTGAATTAATAATTAACATTTGAAAAATAAAAACAATATGTTTCATAAGAAGACGGCGACAAACATAGTTAATCATCAGGTTAATAAATTTTAAAATTGTCTTTAATCTAATTTACATTATATTATTTTTTCGTGTTAATTTAATAATTGATGTTTAAAATAGAAAACGATGTGTTTTGTTGTATCTTGTGACCCTTTTTCCCATAAAAATCATAGGAAAAAAAAAGGATTTACCTGAAAATTGCATGTGATTATCGTTGATTTGGTTCCTTACTTGTAGCTTGTACTCTGCATATACTTTCCTCTTGGGAGGAAGCTTATCAGCCTCAACCAACTCTAGGAACACAGACAGTTCTTTCCCCTTGAACTTCACATTTCCCTTCGGATATACCTTCAATTTCCTGTATGTTACATGTATATATTAGTACTGAAAATTATAAACCGTTGGTACATCAAATATAAATCCGAGAAATTTATACCATTTCAAGTCCCCGATGGTGTGAACCGAAGATTCATAATACTTCCTGTCTAATTTGGAGAACTTTTCCATCTTGAAAATGATGGTGTTATCGTTAGGCTGTTTAACCATGGAAAGGCTTTCCCATCTACAATTCCGTTCCACTACAAACACCTCAGCCCCGAATACGCAACAATCGTCAATGAGGTAGCCGTTAGCTGTTTCACTAAATGTCTCGATGGAGATCAATTGAGCAAACCCCCATTCGGTCTTCATCCAATGAAACCTCTTCACTGCCCCATTGTCATCTACAAAAGTTTAACGTTGATAAAATTTAGACCGGCACAAAATTTTATCATTATCGACGATGACGGATAATAATACGTATGATAAAGGACCTTCGATGGTTAAGTACTTGTCACGGATTTGGTCAAGCACAAATAACCTGAAGCTGACATTGACTTCCCAAGTGATAGGTAAAATTTCTGTTTCTTCAATTACCAAGTAAAGGGAGATGAACCCATTTCCATTGCTTTTACTGTCTCCATTTTGATATAACGATAATCTCCTAATTTAGAAATAAAAGAATATTTACGACGAATTCAAGATTTAATTCGATTGCTTTATTCGATATATTCGCATACCATTTTTGACCAGAAGCTTCAAAAACATCAGAATCATACTTCTCAACGCCTGTCTTGGCCAACCACGAGAAGCCTTCTACTTTAAATAAGAAATGAGCTGGTGGGAAGTCTCTTGTAGTTCTTCTTATTCCTACAAAACAACGTTCATGTCCGGATGAAATTATAAAAAAAATTATTAAAAAATTTAAATTGAAATTTTAATTTTTTTAAAGATAAAATAAATGAAAGATGAGAACCAAACCAAGTTGTTGGGAGTTATCCTCCATCAGAAATTAACAACAACAAAAAATCTATTTTATATAAATGGAAGATGAAATTTTGTATTGTCCTATATATATATATATATATATATATATGTATAACACATGCTTGTGTTGCAAGACATGAGAAGACTTGTCTTGTAAACTTTGGAAATCCTATGGGAATCTCCCATTGTGAATTATAGTAGCAAAAGGGATACCTTTTAGACAACATATGCAATAAAGATATATTCTATTTCCCCAACCAACTCAAAGCATGAAATGGGAAACAACTTACACAAGTAATGTGCATGATAAATAATTTTGATTATTTTTTAATAGTATGAGATAAATATAAGACAGTGTCTGTTCAGAATATTTATTAGTTATTGACAACGTACACACCTTGTAGACGCGATTGTTCAAACTTGAAACCTCTATAGAGAACAACACTTCTTTTAATCACTGCAGTTGCTTAATGAATTTAATTTTGAATATTCTTTTTATTGAATTTAATTCAATTGACGTTATTATTGACATATTATAAGGAAGACGTAGGATCAAACATGTTTAAACGCTCAAACATTTTCAGGTTGCTAATAGAAATATTTAGACTTGTATCGGAATAATTCTAAACAGAGTCCTATAATAAAACTTAAACTAGAAAAAAAAAATTAAATGACAGTTTTCCATACATATAAAAATGGCTTAAATATAAAATAAATGCTTGATTTATATCGTTTCTTATGAATTGGTGTCTAAAATATTTTTTAAATCGTCCAAATTTTTAATATTACAAACATTATCAATGTAGGTGTTTCAGCTCCAATGGCTATTAAAAAACCCCATTAAGTGACACTTGTCATAATCTAGTAATTTTGAAAATTTATTTTTAAAATTAAAAACTTAAAATACTTTATTTTCAAAAAAGCCCCATTTTTTAAAATATCAAAAGAAATTCAAACTCCTAAATCTCTTTTCAAAAGAATATGTTTTAGCATTTATGGTAGCATGAGAGAGAATTATTTTTGGAGAGATGTAATCCTTTTTGGGATCTCTGTAACTTGTGGGGCTTATATTACAGAGTGTAGCACCCTACTCCAATTTGACATGAAGATCGAAAGATTAATGTATCACAAGAAGCCACCGAGGTGGCTAACACAAAATTTTCCTTTAAAATCAGTTGTAAAATATCATATAAAAACCATCCATAATAATAGGAAATGAAAATGTAATAATCATAGTTTACAAATAAAGGGGAACTCCCAAAATGCATCCCAATACAACTAAATACAAAGGATCTACTAGTAGTACATGTCTTCTAATATAAATCATGATGTACTCTGAAGTCTTGGTTGATCTGGAATATCTTATGATGATAACGCTCCACGAACGGTCTCCTAAGAACTTGCGCACGGAAACATATTCCAAACACTAAGCTTACAAGCTCAATGCCACACTAATAAATGTATTGTACTACATGATTTCACTACATAGGCAAGCTAGTGGCATAGGTAAGGACACATAAAGATGCTGACATGAAATGACGAGGTAGGCATCATGCACAGCAGAGTCAATGTTGCATTCAGATACTGCACATGAGTTTCAGTGTCACATTCAAATAGTATGTAGCAGTTACAATCATTAGGGTTAGAGGCCCTTTAGAGGTGTATTCATGGAGAAGCCCTTAGTAGAGATTAAGGGAAACGTGAGACATCCTACTTCTGTGATAGAATAATTAATCCTTAAGTAGGTAGCACTTGATCTATATAATGTATGTACCTATTGGTTAATACCAACCCGGTAAGCTATTTTTATTTGATTTATCACCCGATTCGATCCGTTTATCGAAATTAAGCTCCGTTTTTTATATAATTTATGTTGATATGTATCTGAGGAATTATTGGAAGTTGAATTAAAGATCAAAGGCGTTCGAATGGAATTTTTATGGTCGATCAGTATTGCACAGAAATCGAGGTAATACTTTACTACCTCTTTATGCTTTATGGAACATGTTAATATTGGTAAATGCATGAATAAGATAATGTTGGTCACTTTTGTGGAGTTGGTTAATTTATACACTCGATATGAATGTGGTAGAAATCGGTAACTGAATATGGATCGAATAACTAATATAAGAGATTGGAAAGATTGTTAGAATTAAATTACAAGTTTGTGATTAGTGATAAAGAAATCAGACATGGATTTGTAAATTATATTTTATATCATCAAAGGTTAAATGTTAAAAGTATTTGGATGGGAAATTATGAGAACATTCCAATAGGGTAAAATTACAAAAATACCCTTATGTTGTAGGATGACAAGAATTGTCCCTGGAAGTTGGTTAATAACTCTGAAAAGACATATTGATCCGATATAACTACTGATGTGCATAAGAAATGTTTTTATTTGGAATTATGGATAACCGGTTTTAATCCTAGGAGAGTTTGTGAAGGATACTAGAAGTCTATTAGGGAATCATTTCAGATCAGAGAGTATTCAAGAAAGTAATTAATCATAGGATCTCTAAATTATATTATTTTAGTTAAGAGCTAATATCGAAATCATCTGGTTAAGAAATTACATAAATGCCCTTGAAAGGTAAAATAGTTCAAGTTGACCCTGAATGAGAAAATACTTTGAGGATTTGTACTTAACTCGATTAAGTACGGATTTGATTGTTAAGATCCTGACTTAGTGCAGGAAAATTCCTGATATTCTGTTTGTAAAATCTGAGAAGGCACTTGACCCGAAAATATCTGAGTTATGAGTAAATACCTGAAGAACAATTTGTCGGGGGTGTTCTATTGTTAGAATTGTTCGAAAGGACTGAAATAAATGATAAGATTGAATTTAATAGTAAGATCGGACGGAAAGAAAGGATTGAAATACACTGCTATAAAATGACCAAAATACCCTTGTAATGGAAGTGACCCAATAATATCACCAAGCTCAAGAATGATTGGATATCCTCGAGCTCTGAAATGAATGGAATAAAACTGAAAACTAAAATGACCAAAATACCCTTATGGCCTATACTAAGTAAATGTCTTGGATTAATTAAGGAATCCAAATAAGCATAGGTATTGGACTACATTTAAAAGTTATGGAACACAGCTTAAGTGAGCCGATCAACCTTAATGATATGTTAGTACCTGAACGGCATAGATATTACTTCAATGCATGTTCGTCTACTCAAGTTTAGCTCAATGATAATTTTGGAAGTATTCAGCTCAGCTTAACTCTAGCTCGTATTCAGTAGTAAGAATTTGATATTTGTTAGACAAATCAACCACAAAGACCAAATTAAATTGAACGGAAGTACAGTATGTATCTGAAATTCATAAACGTCTAGATTACCCTGGAAAACCCTAAAATAACTAAAATAGACTTAATTGCTAAATGAATCAAGTAACCTCAATGACTAAGGATTAAGTGAGTGATTTGGATGAGTCTGGAAACGTTAATGAGCATACATGATGTAATGTTCTTATGGATCATGAACTACAAATCAAGCACGTCAGCATTTCATGATATAGTGAAAGCGTGAACATGAAATAAAGACATTGGAAGATTTATTTAGCGATGATTCCGAAGATGATATATGGAATAGAAATTATGGTATTAAGAGTAATATCCTGGAAGAACGATGAATTGACCAATCGATAAGCATTAGTTCTAGGAACTATTCATATAAGAGTTGTTCGATAATCAGATCAAACGACATATTTTGTATAAAGATTTTTGAACACTTTTCTGATGCACAAAGATCATATCAGAATTCTAAAGTATCAACCTTAAATGTCGAATTAGATTGGTTCGCAATCGATTCCCTTCAATAGGACCTCATTTTTAGAATCTGATCAAATTACATCAGTTTCATGTTATTCAGTCTGATAACTACTAAGTGTCTCTGAGAAATACTTGGATATCCTAGTGTGTTCCACATGTACCACATGACAATTTTATATGTTTTTAAATGAGTTTCACCGAAACTATTGATTTACTAGTTTATGAACCATGACAACATGTTATATGTTTTTCGATTACAGGTTTTACCGAAAAATATGAATTATTCCTGATTTATGACATCATGGAATCTACTGGTTTTATGAACTATGTTTACTTGAAATATGTTATCGGGTTTCCTATTTTCATTGAAAAATATGATCTTGATAAATCACGTACTGAATATTTTTATGAGACAATACCCGATGTTCTAAATACAGTTTATTTTGATATCTGATTTACCACATACTTTGATATGGTTTCTGGTTACGGTATTTTTGTACATGATTTCTAAATATGAATTAATTACCGTTACAGTTCCCCAGGTCCCTTTGCTGTGTGCAAGGGTAAGCCTTACAGTTTCCCCAGGTCCTTTTGTTGTGTACAAGGGTAAGCCTTACAGTTCCCCCAGGTCCCTTTCCTGTGTGTAAGGGTAAGCCTTACAGTTCCCCCAGGTTCCTTTGATGTGTGCAAGGGTAAGCCTTACAGTTTCCCAGGCTCTTTTGCTATGTGCAAGTATAAGACCTTATCGTTTTTGCATGCTCCTCTGCTTTGTGCACAGGGTAAATATGTTTTAAACTGCTACTGTTTTAAAAGATATGTATCTTTCCACTGGTTTTACGAGAACACACTAGATAACCTATTCTGATCTCCTAAACTCAGTCATCCAAAATATTTCTCTGAACTGAAAGCTCATTGTCCGTTACCACCTCAAATATCAGTAGGATCTCTGCTCAGCATAAAAGTCTGTAAATGTTCAGAAACAATAAGGATATATAAATATTTATTTGTATCTGCACGTTCATCAGCATCATCTAGTAGTTCTGTATTACTGAGCTTTCCGAAGCTCACTCTATTACTCAACATTGCAGGTTAAAAGAATTGTACCAGTGCAACTATCGTCATCAGTATGGGAGTTCTTCCGGCGTTGATTTCAGAGAATGGTACATGTGATTGGGGGGAATGTAATTGTATTTTGTTTTATATGCAAGTCTGGAAATCTGTTTTATTTTTAAATAGTGACA